AAAAAAAAGGATCAGTGATTAGGAGTCCAGTGCATCAGATCAAAGGTGGAATTCTGGGAGCTGGCATAAGTGTACTTCCAAATTGCCTAAAAGGAAGCTCAAGCCAGAGGTTTAACACAATGGTTAAAGCACAAAAAGGGCAAACAGTCACAGAATATGACAAAATGAAACAAAGATCATATTTGCACCATAGCAAATAACTGATCAAAAACTTAAAAACATGGTCACAATGGAATCACAACTTAAGAACACAAGATAAGAAAGTCTACCAGTAAATGTGGCCAAATTTCAAAAGTGACAGAATAAAATAGAAAAACAGAGAAATATCCCATATCAAACAGATGTTATAGACAAAAAGATGGCCTCCCTCTCTCTTCTCCAAATTGAGTCTGGTAGAGATGTTAATGCCAGTTCAACTACCTGTGGTTATTCTAATACTTGTGGGAAATGGCAAAATGACCACAAACTTCCTGCCATCCCTGTCACAGGCACCTTTGCAAGTTAACTTTGTGACTCCTTCCATCAAGAAAGCATATCAACTTCTCTACACTTTGAAACTGGACTTGACCACATGACTTGCTTTGGCCAATGTGACAATAACGTGCACGATGCAGGGCGAGTCTTACACAGGACTTGAATGCAGGGGTTTATACTCGCTTGTTACTCTTTTGAAATCCTGAGACCACAGATGAACAATCCCAGGCTAGCCTACTGGAGGAGGAGAGACCACACAGAGCAGGCACAGGCAATGCCAGCTGAGGTTGTTCTAGACCCACCAGCCTGCCAACTACCAGACAGGAGAATGGGTCCATTCAAGACCATCCAGCCTCAGATGCTCCACGTGCAGTCTGCACAGACCAGCCAACCTATCGAATCATAAAGTCATTTAAAAAATTGTTTTAACTAATTGGGATCATTTGTTACAGAGCAAAATTCAGCTGTTAGAGTTTCTACGAGTGTGTATAGATGGAGGGTGGGGACAGTCTATGATATCAATAATTTTCTTAACCATCACTTTGCTTATGGTTTGTCTTAAATTTAGGTTCCTCAGTGAGATTCCATGTCATAAGATACAGCATTTGCCATCAACCTCATCAACTCACATGCTTCTCCAAAAATGTGTCACCCTTCCTCTGCCATGCCACATTTCACAGTTACTCTGATTTTTGGTCCTATCTGCAGGGGAATATGTTATAGTCAGGGGGACCCTTTATGTATTTAGTCTTATTTGATGATGTGAAAGCGCAAAGAAAAGTGTTCCTAATTCCCCATGACTTATACCCACCGATAACATTTTTAGCTCATGCAAGAGGGAAATACACACAACCTAATCCAATTTCAATTTCTGGTCCTTCTGACTGAGAGTATCTCTGTGTCTAATCACTCAGGCCTGATCTTACTGGAGCTCAAGGGCCTGAGCCCAGATTCTAAGTGAGCCCATACATGAGAAGCTTTCTATAATGCCCATTTATCTCCAAAGCCTCCATTGCTGGTTTATATAGCTGGGGTTGAGAAGATGGGTGAGGAGAAAGGAAGAGAAAAACGGAGATGATTGGCTGGTCAAAGTAACCTAGTAATACTACTGAGCTCATTCTCCAGTTGATATTTTGGTTCTAAAACTTAAGGTGGAAATCCAAATAGCATGCTAATAAGTGGGTTTGTTCCAGTAAGGTACAACCCTAACTGAAATAACCCCTTCCACTCAGAGTTTCAATCAATTTTCTACTTAAAAAAAACCTCAAGGACATAAGCTAAGCAATTTGGTCAGCTTTGAAATATGCCTACAATAAGGAAGGCTGTTTTAGCAACCTGTGTTTACAAATTCTGGTCTCTGTCCAGGATAGAGGAGGTCAGGGGATAGGGAAAAAATGGAAGTCTGAGCCAGAGATGAGCCCTTCAGTGTCCCCATCTGTAAGATGGGGATACAATCTCGTAATGTGCTGTGAGGATTAAAAGTGTAAAGCTCGGAGCATAATGTTGAGAACAAATGCAATAATCAACAGGGGTGGATACGGCTAGGCAACACCTTGACCCAAACACTCAAATTTAAGTCCATGTCAAACAGCAAATTTATCCCTGAATTTCTCAATGTGCTTAGCTCTAAAAGTAATACCTACTTGAGTTCATATTTCAAAAATCCAAATTTATGTTTTATTTGACATCTACTCAATTTCATAATTTGCCACTCCTTTTTAAAGCACATGAAGAGTGTTCCTGGATCTTGAAATTTGCTTCCTTTAACTTTAAGATCAAAGGAGTTATGCAGCAATACTGAGAAGGCAGCTATTGCACAAATGAGCTTAAAATGGACGAGAAGAAATAGACACCCCCTTCCCCTGCAGAGTTTGTGATCTCATTGCAAAACTTCGCTTCTGGGCACATCCATTTCGGAGCTTTCATGGCATTAGTCATCTTCAAAAGGAGGGCATGCAAATGTGACATAGGGCTCTGAATTAAAGCTGTTAAGTGACTTTAGTTATAACCAAAATACATACAGACATTAGCAATGTAGGAAACCATGATAAGTAGATTTGGGCAAAAGGCCAAATTTATATAAATGCTGATGAAATCTAAACTTCATAAAATTTTCTTTTCAAATAACAGTCCACCATAATGATTCAACCAACTATCAAATTAATAACCAAGCTATCAATAATGTCTAGAGATGTTTCTATAATCCAGGCTCTACTGGATTATTCAGACTTGAAGCAAAATGAAATGGAGGCAGAAGAGGCCCCAGCAGACCGCATGTGCCCGAGTTCGGATACACACTGCCATTTACTTTTCCTGTCCACAGTGCCATTTGGCCCTTGACTTGGATCTTAATAATCTTCAATCTATCAAGCCCTGGCCATCTGCTA